ACACACAGGTTTTCTATAAAGTCCCTTGAACACAAGTTCAGCTACCAACAATATTGTCATCTCCCTCAAAAGCATCAGAACAATATCCCTTAGTGATAGACCTAAGATTTTAACAAAGATGAATATGATCTATATGCTGACATCAAAATAAAAAACAGTTGACTCTTATGATGGAAAAGATCTGAAGTGCTCCTCACATGCAGTATGGCTGTAACAGGAGCAGTAACCCTGGACAGAATGCAGGGGGAATAGGGGAGTGGCAGTAGCTATTTCCACTACTGGAATTTTAAATTATTAGAATGTAAATAGCCTCAATTTGCTTTTACATTTTAGATGGTAATCTTTCTATGTTTTATAATGTGGTGTATTTTAGATTGTATTTTTAATGGATAGTTGTAAAGAACCCATAAAGCTATGGCTATTGGGTGATGTAACAAATAGATAAATAAATGTCTCCTAAAATAATCTGCCCTCTGGTACAGAGGAACTTTTGTCTTACTGCTATTATTTGAGGTTAAATTGCCTGTCTGATTGGCCTTTGTGCATGGAATAGGGTGAGGCACCATCTTGTTCTTGCCCTCTGGCAAAATGCCTTGGGTTGGCCCTGTGCCCTGCATGGGTATTTATAAATCTGACTTATAAGGATCCGGTGTTAAGAGAGTCAGTCCACAAACATTCCCAACGATCAGGCTAGAAAAAGAAAAGAACTGGAGGTACAGGAGAAGGCCTATTTAAAATTGGCTGTGCTTTTGCTTTCCAATTTGCTCTCTCTCTCTGGGAGATCTTTTACCAGCTAAAAAGAAATTTAAAAGCCATGAGCACCTTTAATCACCATTAACTCTTCATTCTCCTTTGCCTAATAAGTGTTCTGGTTAAACTGCTGTGCTCCCTCTTCCACACTTAAACAACCTAGTTGTGAAAATTATGTGTTGAAACTCATCCCTTAAGAGGGATTACTTAAGAATGCTCAATTATGTGCATTGCTTAATTTCTTTTGGATAGAGATGGACGGGCCTACTGTCAACCCCAAGTGTGGAAAAGCTAGCTCAAATAATTTACTAAGATAATTGGGTATCTAGATACAAGGAAACATGTTTTATCATAATTTTCAGTAGACTAGAAAAGGCAATTTTAGAAAGTGATGCTTTAACCTTTCAGTACTGTGCCATGTGCATGCCATCTGCTGCAATTCTCTTTTACATGTCTATTAAACTTTAATACTTAACATTGTTAATAATTAAAGAATGGAGTCTTGTCCTTTACTGCTTGCGGCCACAGTCTATATGCTTTCAGGGCTGAAAGTGTTTTCTTTATGCATTCTTTTTCCAGATGAGCTCTGGCACTGAAAACAAGTCCATATGAGTGTTGCCTAGTTGGCACTAACCATGTTAGTTTTCTTAAATAATTTTGGCTTTCAATGTGTAGGACTGTAACATCAATTTGGTGTAGCAGGTTTAGGGCAGGCCTCCACAACTTGTGACAATCCCCATTTGTGTCATTTGGTTTGTCTGCTGTTTGCTGCCCTAAACTCCTTCCTCCCTTTGTGGTGCTAGAAAGGCCACCAGACAAGAGCTTTAGGTCCTTTGCTGAGCCTGCCATGTGGCTGATAGGCTGACTAGGCCACATGCTGTACAAGCGTAGTTGTAGGGCCTACAAACAGGTTCTTTATTTTCCGTTGAGGCACAGCCTGACAAGCTACTTCCCCTTCGCCTGTCTCTGGCCTAACGGAAAACCTGACCTGTGTGACTTAGAAGTTTTCACTCCTCCCTCTTAGTATCTTACTGGCCATTTTTATTAATGCACTAGGATGTGCAGGTTTAGGAAGACCCATCGCCGACGCGTGGAATATCCGCCTTGCGTGCATGAATTCCCAGCATCAATCCTGGCTTAATCAGTTCAGCGTGAGGAAAAAATCTTGCCTGAAGTGACTCTAGAGAGACACTGCCAGCCAGTGTCGACAACACGAGCTTAGTCGGGAAAGGCAGCTTCCCACGCTGCTTCGTCTCATTTCGCGTCTCCTCCCTTCCAGCGAGGCCTTGAGCTCGCAGGGAAAACGTCCCCGCTCGCAAGCGATACAAACAAAAGGGACCGGCAACGCGGCCGCAGGGCTCCCGCGACTGGCCGGCCAGTCGAGCGCGGGCGGGCCGGCGCGGCTCGCCTCCTTCCGCCTGCCCCACTCACAACAGCTGCTGCCGCCGCCGCCGCCGCCGCGCCGCCGACTCATTCGCTCGCGGCCAGGCTGCCCCTCCCCTTTGGGCTCGCTCGCTCTCCCAACTCGGCAGCAACCCCGGCCTCAACCTCGCGTGCGCAACTCTCTCGCACACGCACACCGCGCACTCCGGCAGTGGCACTCGCAGCACCGCCGCGGCCGCTCCACCAGGCATGGCACAGGGCTCTCCCTCACTATGGCAGCAGCGCGACACGGCACCCTCGACTTCATGCTCAGCGCCACAGGTGAGGCCCCTCTCCCCGGCGGCTCTCCGCCTGTACCTAGCCAGCTTGCCGACCGGCCGCTCCTTTCCCTCCTGCCCTAGCTGCGAAGGGAAGGGGAGAGCGCCCGGCCGGCCGGGCGGGCGGCCAAGAATGCTGCCTCTGTCTCGCTCTTGCACAGCAATGGCTCGTTGCAGGCCTTCGCAGCGACCGGGCTGTGGGAGCCGTCCGTGCCGCCTCCTGTTCAGCAGCAGCAGCAGCGGGAGCCCCAGTGCGGAAAGCTCCTTCAGACAGGCGACTGCCTTTGCCGCCTAAGCCGACCCTTGGCGTATTTCCCCCACAGCATGCAGCAGATTTCAGGTCCCCGACCTATTTCCTCTTGCCGCCAACTCCACGGACTTCTGCTTTGCCCTCCGCCTCCCTGTGTTCAATTTTTCTTCTCCCCATTTCCGATTATTTTCTAACCTTCCTTGCTTGCAGCTACTTCCCTTCTAATATGCAGATGCCCTAAAGCTCAGCCCCGCTCCTCTTCGTCTCCAGCCATACAAATTTCTCCCCCCCCACATTTCTCCCCCCTCACCACGTTTTATGTGTATTTTCTTCCTCCCCGCGCTCTGTAAATCTCTCCATTTCTTTCACTGAGTAACCCCTAAACCAGAAATATCTGTATCGTGTAGATGTATTCTACAACAATGTTATAATATATTAGAAAAATCGAAAAGGCCAGCAAGGGCCTTCCCCCGCTCTGAGCATGCAGTCTTTGTACACCTAAAAATAATAAAAGTGCGAGCCCGTGCTTGCAAAATAGACTTTTCAACTGCGGTTATTTAAAAAGTATGCGCCTCTCATTTTTGGAGGAAGGGCTCTTCGTGCACGCCTTGCAACCGCATGCGTGACCTTAATCTGTCCCTTAGGCGGATGGCTTTTTTTCTTGCTTTGCAGAGGGTAAGATTATGCAGCTTATTTTTCCCCCCTCACTAATCCTGATGACTGAAAGGAAATTATCTATTAATAGGGAAAATCTGGGTGAGGGAGAAAAGTGGAGTTAAATGGATTATTTGGAAGGAATGGTATGTGGCTTAGTACGTTATTGATACTTTTTGAAATATTACCATGAAATGAAAAACCAGGACGTGCCTAGTTTTAGATGAGCTGAATTGGAACTAACATGCTAGTTTCCACTAACATATAGTTGAAGTTGCAAAGGAAAGAAATTGGGAACTCTCATTTTGACTATCTTCCCCCTTTTTAAGGCAATACAAGAAAGAACTAGCTATGGAAGTTAGGACCATTAGTCTCACCACTTCATGTCATCATTATAGTTTAGTGTACATAAGGTTCTACAGTAAGGTAGTTTATAACTTGTGTTGCTGATACTGAACTAGAAGAGCAACCACTTTTACCGCCAAAGGCCTTTATCCATCTTTCGTCTCATTTAGGAACTGTTTATTTACTGTTTATTCACTTAGAGAAATACTTACTACCAAATATTTATCTGAGAAATATGTGTACACAGTGGATGCACAGTGGATGCACAGTGGATGCACATCATATCAGCAATGTTCCTGTTGGTACTTGCTAAACCAAGAGTTTTTAGGGTGATTTTGCCCAAAGTTTTCCCCAACTGCAGGAGTTTATTTTTCTCTTTGTGACTTAGGGGCAACTATTCACTTAGAAAAGTGAAATTGAAACAGATGATATGAATGCATCTATATAAATTGGAAATCAACTTGGTTCAGTTTTAGCTTCCAAGAGGGTCTGGCACACCCACATGGTCATAGGCACATAGAGTTGAAAATGATCAACCTCAGTGATGACGTTTGCTTAGGTCCAACCCTCTACAGGAATCCAGTTTCAGGAATCCATTTCTGGCAGATGCTGGCCTGTTTTAGCCTGAATAAACTAGTGGTGAGTGCCCACCACCTCATATGGCTGCAGGTGGTTTCAATGTCTGATTACCCTCAAAATAGAATGTTCCGGATGTTCAACAAAAATCTGGTTAAGCACCTTGCTTTGTGTCCTGTAGTCTTGGATGATAGAGAACATGTTGATGCCTCATTTACTCACAGCCTTTTCACTACTTGAAAAGTCTTCCCTTTTCAGTCTTCTCAAGGCTAAAATACCCTGTCCCTTCAATTTTTCTTAGTAGTACTTAGTTTCCAGTCATGCTGTCATCTTAAAAGTGTGGTGTCCAGAACTCAACATAGTATTCAAAGTGAAGTTTGATCAAAACACAGTACTTTCCCATGTCTCCATTTTTATGATTGTACTGCTACAAACTGGTACTACTTCTTCCCCAACCACATTAAGTTGGTATGCTCATAATGCTGTCCAGTTGTGTTAGCATTTATTAATTTATCTATTTATTAAATTTCTACAGTGCCAACAGCTGAATATTGCATTACCACATTAAAAGTAACATACAGTTTATTTAATGGTAAAATGTTTACTTAGAATAAAGAGGAATAAACAACTGACAACTTTATTCTGCTTAATTTTTGTTTTGCTGTGCAAGAAAATTGGTAACTTATGTGCTCTTGATCTTGCCAGATTGAAGCCAAGATGGACTGATTATAAAGAAACAACATTACTATACATATCACAACAGCATATCACAAACACATAACAAAGCAACAAGACTACATGGGTTTGAAGCATTCTTCTTCAATCTCGTTCTCTACTAATATTTTGGACTACAATTCACACAATGCCTATCCATTACCTGCACAGACTGGGGCTGATGGTAACTATAGTTCAAACAAAAGTTGGGCTAATCTGATACCAGGTACGCAGGCAGAATGGTAAAATCTGACAGAAGTTGAAGCTAGCTGCTTGTTCTATAGCAAAATTGTACAAGGGGTCTTCAAAAAGTTTCTGCACTTGTATATTTTATAAATATATTTTATATATTTTTTGCTGGTGGCATTAAAAAGTTGGTATGAAGCTGGGAAAAATGCATTGCAAAGGAAGATGACTGTGTAGAAAAGTGATGTAATTTGTTTTTGAAATTCTTAAAAGTTTTTAAAAGTCTGGAAACTTTTTGAAGAACCCTCATATTTTGAAAGAAAGAAATATTTTGTGATTGTATAGGAAGAATGTTCACAAGGCAGAAGTGAAGAAAGAGTGAGCAAGCATTCAAGCTTTAGGACAGGGGCACAGAACTTCAGGTCAAGGGACCAAATTCATCCCGCCTAGACCGCATTCTGTCTCTTTCCCAGATGAACATGCTTCCTTCTACTGGTTGTATCCCCTTTCCCACAGCCACTGATTGTTTGGCGGTTTTCTGCTTTTTATGCATTTTTGCATGTTCTGAAAGGCTGAAATCCCTGCCCTAATATCATAGCAATTACATTTTAATCCATTTTCTCCACTAAATTAACTTAATGGAACAATCCAGATCTAAACCAATGTAGCATGGAGGTTAGATTATTGGACTGGGGACCTGGGAGATCACTGATGAAGCTTACTGGGTGACGTTGGGCCAGTCACAGACACTCAGCCTAACATACCTCACAGGGTTGTTGTGAGAATGAGATTGGGAAGAGCTGTCTTGAATTCCTTGAAAGCAGAAAGGTGAGGTATCAATATAATAATTATAATTGGTATGGTATATTTGAGTGTGGCATACATGGACAGTGAGGTGATATTTAGTTTGAATCAACAGGTGGTTATTGACCATGAGTTTTTGTCATTTTTCTGTTGTGTCTATTAGATCCTGTAGTGTCTCTAATAGTGGATTGGCTAATCGAACTAATTGAAGGTGGTGCGATGCAGCTAATGTTTTTAAACATATATTTAGGAAATTTCAAGTAGTTGCCTCTTTTGAACACTCATCTCCTATAACTAGGAGATTGAAGACTTTATAACTGTCAATGTTTGAACAAATCATATAGATGCCATGTTCGATGGGTACTTATTTAGACATCTGGACTGCTTTTGTGGAATGAAGGCAGGAAGGCAGAAATGCCTCACCTAACATTTGGTTAAGCTAAAATAAGCAGGTTATTTGGCCCAACCTTTTGCTTTTGGCTCTTGCCACTATTGAACATTATGCCTCAAAGCTTCTGTGCAACTGAACTCAGCCCTTTGGGCTGTAAAATATTTTTTGAGCACCTGCTCAAGGGTAGTGATTGGATTTCATTAGTGCTAGCCTGTTGTGCTAAGAATGAGTGCTTGCTTGTATGTGTATGATTTTTCCCCCAGTTTGTTCCCTGAGACTATCATAGGAATTAAGAGAATTCCTCTTGTTTTTTTGTTATCATGCTGTATATATTAGTTTGCTGAATTACTCTTGCGCAAACCTGTATAATCCAACTTGCAAAGGTATTGCGTAGCTAAAGATAACAAGCAAGACAAACTACCTCCTAGACTTATCCATATTGGCTCAGCAGAACAAACAATGCCAAGAGTTAGTCATTCTGCATCAAGCATGCTGGTATTACCCTGAAAGAGTACAGATATAATATCTGCTGAATAAGCAGGTTCCTTTTAGTTTATTCTCATGTAAGTTCAAGGCTGTATACTATAAATTGCAACATTGAGGGGTCCATCTAAAAAATGAGTTTTAGAAGGCTAAACCTCTTTTTCTGACTATGGAATTGTAGGCTTTCTAACAGAATAATTGACACATTAAAGGGAAGAGTAATAATGAGTGTTTTGAAAAAGATTAGCAGATACCCCCAAGTTGGGGAATAGCAAACAAATAGTGCCATTTGTCATAATTTTGAGTCTTTTCTCTTTTTGAAGAGCAACAGCAGACAAACATGGAGACAGACTGTCTTGATTTTTAATTAATTTTAATATTACAGCAGATGAACAAAAAGAGCTAAGCTGCTGTGATATACAAATTTGTGATAAACAGTATTTCTGATAAATAGTACATTGCTAGTAGTCTAGGGACTCCCCAGTGTCCAAAGAGGAAGGTAAGCCATGTTCAGGAAACTAAAATTTCATACATGTCTGTATTCCAGGAATATTAAATTCTAGAAGATGCAAGCTGTTTATACAAAATTTTATTAGTACCT